GTCAGTTTCCTCCAGTAACTTCTAATTTTGCGAAAAAATCACAAAATTAAGAAAAAAATCCGATGTCAAAAAATGCGAGTTTTTGGAAAATTGTTTGAAGATAGAAAGGAATTTAGGCCATTTTTGACTTTAGCAGCAGAAAGTAGATGAAAGATGCTACATTAGACACCAACTTGATATGATTTCCCCGTCTTTGCAAACGCAAAACAAACGAATTAGTATCATTTTTAATTTAAGAGGAAACTGCGTTATCTGAAACAACAGGGAAATTTTTCAACCATGCGTGGCATGTTTCCTCATGTATTTTTGTGTCCTGGATTCGAAAATGACCTTGGTTTCTCTTCACTGTGCACCAGTTTTCCGGAAAATCACATTCCCTGAAAGGTCTATTTTAAGTGGGAAATCTCAACCTTCCGGAAAATCGGTGGGTGTAAGAGAAAAACAAAAGTCATTTTCGGACTCAGCACTAAAAATTACATAAAGATTACCTATCAAATGCCCGGTGTTGATTCGCGGCAGACCTACGGAATTCCAACTCCCTCGAGCCACCATTTCATGAATTTTACTTTTTCGGAATCATTTGAGCTTTATTCCCAAAATAGTACTTCGGGGCAGCCAATTTTTATTGATACTTAATCCCCAGGGATCAGTTAACACTTCTCTGCAAAGGTTTCCCGTAAATACGCGCAAATAGGTAGTAGTTAAAAGTGTAACTGTAGTATTATTTTTATGGTTTTGAGGGCAATACTTTTAAGTAGGAATGCCGCGCATAAAATGGCGATATTTCAAAATGTTATTAGTGAAATATATTCTATTTTGAAGGAGAGAACAAGCTTCCTTTATCAGACATTGTAATAAATCTGTTGGGAGGATATACCAACAGGCAAACGATTTGCCCCGAGTCAGGCAACATTTCTCGAGCGCCGCCTGAGCCACTTTTGGAGGCTGTGTGCGCTAAATTGGAGTTGAAAAATTGAAAACCAATACCCTTATTATAAAATATAACTCTTTGGGAAGACATGTACATCAATGACGTGACTATTTGTGAGAAACGCCCATATGCGACTTTTTGCAGGTTTCGACCCACCGTGCGGCGCATCACTCAGAAGTAAATTCTAAGAGCGCAATGTACCAGTAATTATACCGATCGTGTAAGAGCGAGCTTGGCTGTGATTGATCATTGTGGGCGCTTTGTGAAAAATTGGGGGTTTGAACGCGCTATGCAGGTTTGAACTTGGCAGGCACTGTGCAGACTAAGTTTCAATTGCGCAAGGCTCGTGATTGGTGCGCTGCTTCGCAGTTATTCTGAGGCTGGGGACAATGGAGTTCAGTGTCCCCATAGAATAATAAAAAGCTTTGATAAAGATAAAGAGACTCCTAAAATTGAATTAAAAACTTGATAGTACTTCCTAAAGTTGCCTATCAGTGTGCAGTGGATATCTGACGCAACAACGTTGATAGATAATAAGCTTTTCCAGGGATTTCAGTATGCCATTTTCAATTTTGAAGTAGCAGACTATAAGTCGAAAAAGCAATTAGTTGATTCATTGGAATAAATGCCTCAGTCGGAAAAAATAATGTAGTGATCATGATTATAAATTGTTATGGGAGGTCCGAGTTTAAAGGAAAGGATATGTAACAGAAAAAAATGATGTTGAGGGTACCCAAGCTTTGACAAACTTCAGATGGAAAAAGAGACGAAACAACTGCAGAACAAAAAGTAAGGATGAGAAGAAATAGTTATCGAAATAAATACAGAACTGTAGAATCTTGGAATTCACTAGAGGCTTGCTTGATAAAGCCAATTTCTGAAGGCTTAATTGACAAAAAAATCAATATAATTAAAGAAATTTAAGTCAGAAACTCTAAAATCTCCACTGATTTTACTTTTTCTAGTGAATTGCTGAAAAGGAGGGGGTCCGTCGCCGATTTACATAATATTTTGCTTTTACTTTACTTAAAATCAAGATTATTGAGATGAGACCACCAAGAGAGAAAAACTAAACCCGATTCGAAGGGAGCAGAATCTTAAGGACAGTTGACTGTAGTGAAGACTTTTAAAGCATCGACGTTGAGTATAGCTGTCACAAAATTTAGGCTTCCACTACATTATCAACAAAAAGGAGGAATAAAAAAGGAGTCAAATGGGGCCTTTCTGTACACTTGATGAAACATCATTGAAATTTGAACGCAAACCAATCAAACCAATTCATTGAGTCTGACCACGATGGTGTGAATTAGTCAAGCCAATCACAAGGTCCTTAAGGTAAAAAGTTTTTTAGTTAGTTTATGACAAGCTCAATATTTATTAAACGTATCAAGGTGGTGAAATGAGTCCACATCATTTTGCGGGGAAAACAAAGGCAAAAAGTTCCGAAAATTTCAATTAAAGTCAAAAATTTTGAGCTCCAATGAGTACCAGTCCAAGACTGAAATATTGAGTTTAGGTCACGCCAAGAGATCTACAGGGTTATCCAAAAGTCACCTACCACCCCTGTAACTTTTTCCCCAATTAAGATAGAAGTTTGAAACTTAGGCAATGTTCCTTGGTTTAAAGTCGCAACTTTTTGGTCCCCTCAAAATTTTGAAGGGCAGTCCCCCCTAAGGGGGGCGGGGGCTACCCTTTTTTCAAAAAGCAACCCCCTTTTGTGATTCCTCATTCGAAAGTTAATAAAAATAAAATTTTTGGCACAAACCGCAGGTCAAAATGTTGATTGTTCACAAAATGGTGGCCGGTCAAAGTTCAAAATGACGGAAATTTGGCATCTCCGTTTTTTATCGGCAGATTGGTCTGAGACTCAGAATCTTAGGGTTTATTGGGACGAGAAAAACGACTCTGGCATTAGTTTTCCAGAAAAGTCAGTCCTTTTCAAAATGGCGGCGGTTAAAATGGCGGCTTAGAGCGGGAAGTGAATATTTAGGCTGCTTATCGTTGGATTTGTATGAAATTGGGTATCTAGGGGTATTTTGGCATGAAAAGAACAAATCTTTCATTGGAATTTTGAAATTTCGAAAAACTTTAAAATGGCAGCGAAAAAATGACGGGAAATCCATATCACGGCTATTTACCGATGAACTTGAACGAAAGTCGAATGTTGTAGTGGGTTTTGGCTAGCCGATCCACCAAAGTGAGCCAAAAACCACCGGCTGCGGTGCAATGAGCCACAGATCTTGGCGCCATGCTCGGATCTAGGCTAAAATCCGGGCCCAGCGCCACAGAGTGTGGCGCCACACTCCAGCAAAATCCTCAAATTTCCTTATGTGTAAAACCGCCTAAGTGCTGGTGCAGCGTGCCACAAAGTTCAACCAACAGTTGACTTTCCGCTCATCTTTGACTTTCGTAAAAAACCGCCCAACCAACTTTGATAAACTTTCGAGCGTGGCGCCACACACCAGCGCATGAAAAAATCCAGGCCCAGTGCCACAGGGCCGAGCGCCACAATTCACGATTGCCTCTCGCCTAGATTACGGGCACGCATCGGGTAGCGAGGCCCGCGTCGCACATTAGCGCATGAAAAAATCCGGGCCCAGCGCCACAGGGCCTAATCCACCTAAGGTTAGGTTAGGTTGAATTAGGTTAGGTTAGGTTGGGATCGGTCGGGTTCGGTCAGGTCCGATGCGACGCGACGTGGGCCTCGCTACCCGTCGAATGTGCGCCCGTGATCCAGGCGATAGGCAATCGTGAGTTGTGGCGCTCGGCCCGGATTTTTTCATGCGTTGTTGTTTGGCGCCACGCTCGAAAGTTTATTAAAGTTGGTTGGGCGGTATTTTACGAAAGTCAGAGATGAGCGGAAAGTCAACTGTAAGTTGAACTTTGTGGCAGGTTGCACCAGCACGTAGGCGGTTTTAAACGTAAGGGAAATTTTAGGATTTTGCTGGAGTGTGGCGCCTCTTTCTGTGGCGCTGGACCCGAATTTTAGCCGAGATCCGAGCGTGGCGCCAAGATCTGTGGTTCAGTGCCCCGTAGCCAGGCTAAACCACCAGCCTTTCATGCAAATTCATCCGTGAATGGCCTTGATATGGATTTCCCGTCATTTTTTCGCTGCCATTTTAAAGTTTTTCGGAATTTCAAAAATCCAATGAAAGATTCGTTCTTCTCGTGCCAAAATACCCCCGGATGCCCAGTTTCATACAAATCCAACGATAAGCAGCCTAAATATTCACTTCCCGCTCTAAGCCGCCATTTCATTTTAACCGCCGTCATTATGAAGAGGACTGACTTTTCTGGAAAACTAATGCCAGAGTCGTTTTTCTCGTCCCAATAAACCCTAGGATTCTGAGTCTCAGACCAATCCACCGATAAAAAACGGAGATGCCAAATTTCCGTCATTTTGAACTTTGAGCGGTCGCCATTTTGTGAAAAATCAACATTTTGACCTGCGGTTTGTGCCAAAAATTTTATTTTTTTATTATATTTCGAATGAGGTATCACAAAAAGGGGGTTGCTATTTGAAAAAAAAGGTAGCCCCTGCCCCCCTTTGGGGGACTGCCCCCCAAAATTTTGAGGGGACCAAAAAGTTGCTACCTACTTTAAACCGAGGAACATTGCCAAAGTTTCAAACTTCTATCTCAAATGGGAAAAAAGTTACAGGGGTGGTAGGTGACTTTTGGATAACCCTGTTTAACGTTTTGGGCCTTTTCAGACTGTATCAGTAGATCACACTCATCAGTGAAGCCAACTTTTAGCATCCCGCTAAATCCAAGACGGCATCGAAACGCCGTCATGAATATGACGCGAGGCATGACACCAAAGTGTGATCCTCGCGCTATGTACCGTCCTTGCTGAACAACTCTCGTAACAAAACATGGAAATCCCGAAACAAATTATTATCAGACAGGTTGCAGATGCGAGTACGCATCTAGACTCAACCTCCTGCTCCTGAACAGGAAAAAACATAGAACCCCAAACTGTGCATATTTATGAAAAAAGACACTGAGGAATGGCTCGAACTCATGGGCCGAATGTTTCTCATTCAATTGTAATGTGTTGATTTTTACAGTAATGTGGCTTATCACGGAGATTTACAAAAGAAAGCAGAAATGGAACAGAGGCGGAACATGACAGGGCAAAATGGAGAATCTTCTGGTTTGTATTGCTTAAACTAGTCTTAAAGTCATCATTACCAGGTCCAATATAAAATAAAGAAGTTTGACGACATGATTCAATGATAATTATATGTATCCTTGCTTGCGATAAGTTTAAATAATCTTGAAGTTCAGCAGCGCTGATGATGTTTGGTGCGTTAATAACCAATGTTTTTTGTACTAAGCCAGTGTACTAACAAGTTTTGCGTGATATAATACTTTGAAAACTTTTTTTCATTCAATGGTTTGAGTCAATGTGTGATGGATCACTGAGATGTCGTGTCTAACTGGTAAATCTGCGCAGAACCACCGAAAAACGAATTTAGGCAAATTTTTTTTTTTAGAGGTTCTGATTGGTTATTTTTCGCCATCAACTTTCTGTTTGTTGGTGCAAACAATCGCCTTTTTCATTGCTCTTGAGAAGCCGCCATTATCCCACTTCAAATTTTAAAAGTTAAAATAAAGAAATAATAACTACGTACAGGTTGGAAAATTGCTCTGGAGGACTCGTTACGGACAAAGGAGCCAAAATCAGAACTCGATTGATTGATTTAGTTCATGAATATGCAAGTACTGCCTCAGCTCAACTGCTGCGATCGCGAATGCATGCTGAGATGAACCTTGAGACAAATGAAAGCATGTGCGAACCATGGCCCCTACAGAAATGCGCTTACTCCCTTCTCTCATATCACGACAGCAGCCAAAGCGTCAAGGACAAGCGGCTTGTTCACAAGAGTCCTGCCCATCGTCCGAGTCTTTAGAATGCTCTTTTTCCTGACAGGAATCCCAAGAGTTGTGATGGCTCAGCTGACTAAACCTCTACTCCCATGTTCAGAGCTATCTCTACTCTTTGATCAGGGGTTCGAATCTCATCCTAGTAGGTTAATTTTTACTGATTTTATTGAATGTTTTAGACCAATCATCAATAATAACTAAATAATTGAATAAACAATATAATAAACAATAATAAACAAGAATTGAAAATAATTAATACTAGATAAAAAATGTACAAACATTTTCTCGTGAGTTAATATGTTAAACAAAAATACTGGAATATACCTCCTTCATATAATCAGCCACATGTTTACTCAAATTAATGATGTAATTTTCTTTATTCAATAAAGTTAATTTGCATTCAACGTTCGTAAGTTTAGCAAAAAGTACCTATTGATACAAATAGAAAGACATGAAAAAAGTATGTCTAACATTTCAGTTATTCAGCACGCTTTTCCTAACATCTTCATGTTGGATCTATCATCTTGTTTTTCTTCATTTAAAAAAAAAAAGTAAGCCACACTCTCATCAAGAGATTAATTCATAAAATAACAGTAGTTATCTTTTGTAATTTTCCTCCCTTTTAGTCCAGTCAATTTAGCACTAAATAAGGGTCATCTGGGAAAATCTATATATAGAAGGTTTCTTTGCGGAAACATGTTGCATTAGGCTACCAGAACAACATATCAAAAGTTTACCAAAATCGGCTGTCCGCTAAGGCCGCCATTTTGAAAAAAGGGGGGGCGGGGGGCCAAAATACGCCGCCGGCGGCCGGTTTTTAGCTTATATCTTGAAAAATATCAATCCTACGGAAAAATGTCACTGAACCTTTTAGAAAGACCATAAAATTTCCTATTAGAAACACTATACGTTTATTAAATTGTGACATCTGGTTCGTGAGATATGGCGGTAGTTTCCTGCGGCTAGGAAAGTCAAATCTTGCAAGAAATCGCGTTTTTTCAACAAAATCTGTAATTATCTTAAAAACGGTGAGTCTGAGGCAAAAAAGTGTTTTCACCGGAATGAAAGAGCATGAAATCTCCATGCTAAAAATGCTTATGAATTCACTAGGGGGTCCGCCCCCGGAGCGCTATGCGGTCCGAACCAACGGCGGCAACTACCCGGCGAATCTCGGCTTGGCCGCGTTTCTTCGCGCCTCGACGTGAATTCGGGAGCAAGGCATTCCCTGTCCAGACATGATTTGACATTCTCGAGCTTAGCTCGAAACAGCTGATCGACATTGCCAAATTATATCGGTATGACATATGCACAGATTTAATTATTTCATTTTTCTAATCAACACGGCAATTTTTATTAGGAGACCTCATGCAATCCTAAGAAAATGCGTCAGTCTGCCTGTAGATCGATGGTCAAACCGCGGCTTGCGTGGACGCTCAGTACCTTCATTTAGTTGTAAATTTGAAAAACACAGAACATTTTGTTTCGCACTTAAGAGAAATTTTGATCCGTGTGGCCCGCTTTCCGTCATGTGTGTGCGTGCATTCGTCGCAAATATCAGTGTCGAATATTGTCGTGTTTTTTAGTGGATTTTAAAATTCTGCGGGACGCTTTTTGTGTTTCAACATGAATAAAACTGAGTTTTTCGAGATCGTCAAGATCGCTTTATCCCTTCGGTTTTTAGAACTGTTTTGAAGTTTAGCTTGTTTAGTAGGATTTACAGTGTATCGCGGAAGTTAGTGTGATTCTACTTATGTTCATTCTTCTGTAAACTATGATCGAAGGAAAACGCTGATTCGTGGAGTCACCAGACATGCATAAGGCTGGAACATAATGACTGAATTAAGTATTGTATCTCCATAGCTTACTCTAAAAATTATTGTTTTGTATTTGCAGAATGGAATTGTGTATTCTTTGTGATACAGCACTAGATTTGAAAGAAACTGTGCAAGTTACGAGGGGTTTAGATTCCCTGACAGCTGCTAGTAAACAGCGGGGAGATGATAAATTTGAAAAATGGATAGGTAAAACTGTCTTAACGGTACATGTAGAGTGCAGACAAAAATACACGAATAAAAAGAGTATCGAATTTCTGGCTAAAAGAAAACAAGAGGCAGAAGCTAATGCGAGTAAATTTTCACCTGTGAAAAAGAGACTTAGATCGGAGGAAAATTTTGACATCAAGAAACAGTGTTTATTTTGTTGTAAAGAATGCACTGAAGAGTTTGAAAGGAAAAAAAGGGCAGATTTGCGCTTAAAAGTAAACAAAGTTCGGACCTTAGAGTTTAAAACTACACTTCTTAAAAAAATTGAAAATCGTGACGATGGATGGGCCAAGAAGGTACGAGCAAGAGTTGTAAATAGCTTTGATCTTGTCGCTGAAGAGGCAACTTACCATTCAGAATGCATGGCTAAGTTTTATCATGGTTATTATTCTGATTTGCCGGATACTGACGCGAATAATTTAAGCTTGGATGAAGAACTAAAGAAGGTTTTCTCATACATAGAAACTCATAATGATTATCAGTTTTCATTGGAAGAATTGATGAAACTTGTCTGCATAAATATTTCAGAGAAGACTCTGAAGTCCAAATTACGTAAAAAATTCGGGGAACGCATCGTAATAACAAATTTGCCAAGGTTAAAAACGGTTGTATCTTTGAGAGAAACAAGTGAGAAAATTTTGCGAGAAGCCTGGTATGCAGAAAAATGCGAGAAAGAAGGAGATGAACGACTGAGAATCGTGCGCATGGCGGCGTCAATAATCAAAGAGGACATCATTTTAAAAACAAGCGATTCCGATTATTTTTATCCTGCTCCCAGTGAGATGATGTCCGAAACTGAAAAAAAAATCCCGGAGTCACTAAATATATTTCTTAACGACGTGATCGTAAAAGGAAAAAAAGGTGATGCAAGCTCATGGAGAAGAAAATCGCAAGTAATTGCACACAATATAATGGCAGCTACAAGACCCAGATCTTTTTTATCTCAAATTCAACTAGGTCTCGGATTATATTTACATCGAAAATTCGGAACTAAACTAATTTTAAATGTACTATCAAAATTAGGCTTGTGTGCTTCTTACTCTGAAATCGAGAGCTATGAGTGTGCAAGTATCACGCAGGGTGCTGCAGAAATAGATGATGAAGCATACATCCAATTTTCTTTTGATAATGCAGACATGAATGTTGACACACTTGATGGCCATAATACTTTTCATTGCATGGGTGGCATCAAATGTGTAGCGCCAGCACAAGCCGTAAATCCTTGCACTGCACCTGTTCCAAAATGTTTCACTTCGTTTTCAGAAATTCCTTCAGGAACACTGCCACAGATAAAGATTGAAAACTTTCAACGTGATAAAACAAACGCATTTCAGGAAATTTTAGTCGCGGATATTAACGATCTGCATCCGACGCCATCAGCCTCAGAGTTATTAGATACCACTGATGTAATTTGGATGTGCGGTAAATGGCTAAAAATTACCGCTTTTCCGTCGTGGAGTGGTTTCATGGAGACACTAACTTTCGCACGTTCATTCGAGCTGACCAAAGTCCAATTTCTACCGTTCGTCAGATTACCCGCGAATGATTACACCACTGTTAATAGTGTAATCACGTTTGCGTTAAAAGAAGCTCACATACACAATCAAAAAAGTTGTATGGTGACATTTGATCAACCTCTTTATATCAAAGCACGGGAAATTGTAGCATCTTCGACTAAATTATCTGATGTTACTATTAGACTCGGAGGATTTCATATGCTCATGTCATTTTTAGGTTCAATCGGTCATATTATGTCTGGAAGTGGATTGAAGGAAATGTGGTCTTCTGCTTACGCGACGAATTCAATCGAAAAGATGCTCTCTGGCCATCACTACGCACGAGCTATTCGCGCTCATTTCCTAGCACATAATGCAATTGCTCAAATTTTATTAGATTTGATGGCAATCTCAGATGAAAAAAAGCAGACAATTTTAAGTTTATTTGCAAAAGGCCCAAAAACAGATTATAACGCCTTATTAGATTTAAATATTTCAAAGGAAGTTTTACAATCCTTCCAAACTTTTCTGCGATCAATGATTGAAAATGGACCCACGGCCAAATTGTGGATCCAATACTTCCATATGGTAACCCTCGTGAAAAATTTTATCAAAGCAGAAAGAACAGGTGATTGGAAATTACATCTAGCGTGCGCCCAAAAAATGATTCCTTTTTTCCATGCTGCTGGGCACCTAGCATATGCAAAATGTACTCAGTTATACCTACAAGACATGTATGCTTTAGAAGAAAAATTAGGTGAAGAGGAGGCACAGAAGTTCATGAGAAACTTTGCAATCAGGCGTACAAAAAAATTCTGGGCTGGTAACTGGAGCGATATGACTATAGAACAAACCCTCATGCGGTCTATGAAAACAGTCGGTGGATTATCAAGGGGTAGAAGTACCAGTGAAAATGTTGTCCAAAAATGGATCCTTGGCGCTCCAGTTTCATGCGAGGTTGCGGAATGTTTTGAGGATTTTTGTGATATTAGGTCAAGCACTTCAAATCAGCACGTAGACCTGCAAAAATCACGGATCGAAAGAGATGACAAAGACGCGACGAAATTCAAAGAGTGGCTCCAAATTCATTCTCCATTCTCAAAATCTGACAGACTTATCTCACTTTCTACCGCTGTGGCCGCAGACGAATCCGTAAATTGTCATAATGCCGAAGAGAGTGGAATGGCAGCTATGAAAAAAATTATCGGTCAAAATTTTCAAGACTTAAAATTACACAGAAAAGACAAAGTCATTTCTTTGATTGCCATGAATTCAGGTTTGAAAATTCATGATACGATTGTGCCTATAGATACTAACCTCTTATATCAAAGAATTATGAAAACTGTCAGAAGCGACACTGAGTTAGAAAATTACTTCAATTACGAGCTTTCACCGATTCCGCAGGCCTTGTTTGACTCACGTGGAATGCGGAAAGGCACAAAGTCGACTTTGTATAAATCATTCAATGTGTCCAAAAATCTCAAGTTGACAACCGAAAATTGCAAATTTGTGATAGATGGGGGCTACCTCCTGCACTGTGTCATCTGGCCTCGCGTCGGCACCTTTTTAGATGTGTTTAATGCTTATGTGAAATATGTTGAAAAGCATTACGGTCTTGAATGTTTAATTGTTTTTGATGGATACGAACATAATGCAGATTCTACAAAAAGCGCTGAGAGGTGTCGACGTTACAGCCTTAAGAAATGTCCTGACTTAATGTTTTCTGAGGACACTCCTCTAACCTTGGCCCAGGACTTGTTTCTTTCTAATGAAAAGAATAAGGCGCGTTTGATTTGTTTGCTATCGAAACACTTGACTACAGGGAGTCAAATTAAAGTATATCAAGCAGAAGACGATGCGGACACTCTCATCGTAAATAAAGCTATTAGTGTAGTGAGAGAGACGAACAAACAAGTTGCCATCGTTGGTGAAGACGTAGATCTTCTTGTCCTAATGGTAGCCTTGACGCCTGCATCCAGTGACGTCCTATTATTAAAACCAGGCAAGGGCAAGAATGCAGCACAAATTTTCAGCGCAAATGAGTTGCAAACATCGAATGCAAATTTGAAGAAGAGCAATCTGTTTATCCATGCCGTTAGTGGATGTGACACGACCTCAGGGTTTCGTGGCAAGGGCAAAGGCACATTCATCAAGCTGTTGGAAAAATGTGCCGAAGTTTCTCGAATTGCTGAAAAATTTAATCAAATTGACTGCACTCAAGATGAGCTATGTCAAGCGGGTGAGCGACTTGTTCTTCTGCTGTACGGTGCCAAAAAATCTGTCACCGCCTTGAACAAATGCAGATTTCAATGTTTTAATCGTGCTTTGGCAAGGCAAAAAACTGAGGTGAAACTGCAAACGTTGCCTCCAACTTCAGATGCGTGCAAGCAACACTTCTTACGTGTATATTATCAAGTTCAACTCTGGAGAGGAAGAAAACTGAATCCCAAGGAATGGGGGTGGAAATCTTCGGAACTCGGGCTTCTCCCTGTGCCTATGCTCAACCCGCCTGCCCCCCAAGAACTTTTACAAATCATCTCATGTACATGTTCGAAAGGCTGCAGTAACCGCTGCTCTTGTAAGAGAGCTGGTCTACCATGCAGTGACATTTGTCTACATTGTTCCGGCTTGGGATGCAGCAATCAAGCAGAAACACTGATCGAGGAGGAAGCAGAGGATGAATTTGAACCAGCAACCGCCGCTTAAGGTAATAAACGAAGAATGCTTGTCTCCCTCTTTCTATATTCTGTATTAATTCATTTCCTTTTAGTCACTTTGAAAAAGGAAGATTTGTTGTTTGACAAATTGTATTTGAATAAGAAAGCATAAAATAATAACATCATCTTCAAGCGCGACCGTTGACATTTATTAAGCATACTACAAGCATGACCTAACAGGGGAAGGGGGGGGGGAGGGTTCATGATGAAAGGAAATGAGCACATATGTAAATGGATAATATGACTTACCCTCGCGGTAAATCTACCAAAAAAGTGAAGCCGTTTCATTTTGGACCGCAACAATTCATGGCGCGGCCGAGCCGAGATTCGCCGCGTAGTTGCCGCCGTTGGTTCGGACCGCATAGCGCTCCGGGGGCGGACCCCCTAGTGAATTCATAAGCATTTTTAGCATGGAAATTTTATGCTCTTTCATTCCGGTGAGAACACTTTTTTGCCTCAGACTCACCGTTTTTAAGATAATTACAGATTTTGTTGAAAAAACGCGATTTCTCGCAAGATTTGACTTTCCTAGCCGCAGGAAACTACCGCCATATCTCACGAACCAGATGTCACAATTTGATAAATGTATAGTGTTTCTAATAGGAAATTTTATGATCTTTTTAAAAGGTTCAGTGACATTTTTCCGTAGGATTGATATTTTTCAAGATATAAGCTAAAAACCGGCCGCCGGCGGCGTATTTTGGCCCCCCGCCCCCCCTTTTTTCAAAATGGCGGCCTTAGCGGACAGCCGATTTTGGTAAACTTTTGATATGTTGTTCTGGTAGCCTAATGCAACATGTTTCCGCAAAGAAACCTTCTATATATAGATTTTCCCAGGAAAATGCTAGATTGACTGGACTATGGATGCTGTAAGCATTCTTTTCCAGTTCTAGTGTATTTTCCAAAGCAAATACGATATTGATTTCTTTTTTTTCTTTTTTTTTCCTTTTGAAACGCTGCTTTAGAGAAATTCAGAGGCTCATTATAGTCATAGAAAATAATTCCAAAAGATACATTTTGTAGAATTCATGATAAATAGTCTCTTTGTTGCACTGTGTGTTTGCAACAAACCTTACATCTATTTTAAACAAATTTACAAAAATCCTCTGGATACCTACTAGTTGATACAAAATGGGTAAAGGCAATGACTTAATTAATTTTAAAAAAAATGGAATATAGGTATTAAACTTTGAAACCTTCAGTCAGTCCTTGGAGCAAAATTGAAATAACGGGAGCTATAAAAGCCAATATTTCGGGCCTTCACTTTTATATTAGTGAAGCAATAGTACAAGGTACCTGACTTCATTTTGTGTCCAAAGTAATTAAATTTTGAGCAATATAAGAAAATACTATATTCTGTTCTCCTTTAATGCCAGACCTGGTATATGTAATGAGCACTCGGCATGGCTCGTAGGTCACGAAAATGCACGACGGTATTGGATTCACATATCCGAATGTATGAGAGCTGAACCAACACCATAACTACCACTGGGTTGATGCCTTTCTTTCGGAAAGACACTTTGCTTGCGGTGGATGCGAGGGTATACCCTGCTAAAAATTTCTCATGAGAATGACATGTGATCACATGTGCTCTCACGGGAACGGCATGTCATCACGTGTGCTCTCAGGGGAATGACACGACTTCACATAATTCTCCCCCGGGGATTGGACAGGGGAGCCCGTGAGCTCCCCTGGGAGCTAACATGTGACCCGTGCGCTCCCATGAGAGTGTATATGTGACCCGTATATGTGCTCTCATGGGACCCCTCACGGTGTCCCGTGGATCATCATAGAAATTCGGGGAAAATGCTACGGGCCCATATGTGACTGCAGTCTACCACAGAGTGTAGCATCACAGAACTATATTCATGGGAAATGCATACAGGACCTTACAGCGTCCTACAAAGACGTCACCGAACTTGGAAACGGATACAGTGCGACATAACACTGCATCTTTATCTACTTTAGATGCTTTATAGGACAAAACCCTGATAAAAATATTTCCCCTGGGGCTGGACACGAGATCACATCTGCTTCCTTGAGGAATAGCAAGGAAAGCCCCTGTGTTCCCCAAGAAATTACAGGGGATCCCCTATGTTCCCAAGGATGTGAACAGGGGGTCACCTGTGCAACCGAAAGTCTGGGGATATTCAGTCCTGTCCCTCCGTCCCCGCGCGTACCGTAGCTTTAAGGTTCGGCCGGCGGACTTCCGGCTTATCGGTTGTTTTTTTTTTAGTTTATTTATTTTTCAATCCATTTTATTTATTTGTTGATTTTTTTTAATTTATTGTTTTTTTTATTTAATGTTTTTTTTTCTATTTATTGATTTATTTTCTTAATATTTTTCAGGTGCGTTATAGCCAAAAAGATGCTATGGAGCCGAATAAATTCGATACACTACTACAATTTAAATTTAAATAGTTTAACATATTTTATTTATTTATGAAAATACATTTTATTCTACTTATGAATTGTTTATTTTAATCTACTTTATTTTATTTTATTTAGGTATTTATTTATATTAATATATTTTTATTTTATTTTATTCATTTATTTATTTTAATCTATTCAATTTATTTATTGTTTTAGGTTAATTTATTTAATTTTCTTGTTTATTTTATTTCATTTTATTTATGTTAATTTAACTATATATATATTCATTTCATGCTTTATTTCATTCAATTTCATTCATTCATTTTTCTTTGTTTTAATAAGTTTATATAATTTTTTTTTATTTTGATTCATGTGTTACTCACTTCTTTCTTTCCAAAAATTGATCTAATTTTTTATTATTTTTGTTTTCTAAAACTGGGTAATGTAGAAATTTTCAAGAATATCGTTGCTTTCCATCATGGAATTGGCGCGGCGCGGCGCGGCGCTGGGAATGTTTATGCTCACGATTATCACGCGATCTTCCGGAGCTCCACGGCAGGGGCACTCGGGCGATCAAGGGGGTTAAGTGACGTCGGGCGTAGTTAGTACTTAGATGGGGGACCGCTCGGGAATGACTGCACTGCGGAGGTTTGCATAATGGCTAAGAATTTCTTTCATGTCTCAACCATGCCACGGCTATAGAACAAATTAATTTTCGCATTTAATCCTTAATCTTTTTCCTCTATGGCTCTGCTAGTAGAGACGGCATTTTGGGCACGGATTAGGGAGCTTCCGATGGGAGTCACTTCTCATGCGAGCCACTTCTCATGAGAGCCACCTCTCAGGGGAATTATTCCCCTGCCCAAAACAGCCTGAGTGAAATTCCCATGAGACATTTTTAGCAGGGAACCTTCTCAAAAACGAGCAAAACAACTGAACCAATATATCCAAACTAAAAACACACACAGAGCGCACATTTGTTTTAATTTCGTTGGTAAATTTTCAATTTCTTTTGACCCTTTCGTTTCACCCTAGGTAAATGTCATCTTTATGAATAATGCCCTAAAAAGAGAATACTTATCTGCGAATGTTAACAATTTATTTGCGGCTCTGACATTTGTGCACCCATAGTAAATGTAGGAACATTATCTACACTCACATTTACATAAGATGTAAGTGGTTGCTTATCATTAATTTCTTTAGGAAGAACATTAGTACTGATAATGTTGTTGTTTCCATTTGGTGGCACATGAGGAAGAGCATGCTCTTCAACTGGAGTCATAGGTGAATCGGCCCCTAACAGTGGCTGTGTTGATTTTGATTCTGGAATCTGTCCTAAATTACCACTCCACGAATCCGCTGGACCTGTTAAAGGTATTAAGTAATCTGGATGGATACATTCTTCATTGCTGGCTGGTCTCATGATGGTAGTGTCATGCTCAGAAGAAGGTGGCCGGTAGAATACAGGTAAAGGGGAACTGATTACATCTGGATCCTGTAAACATATTGAATTCGGTATAAACCTTTTTATGGAGATGTAAAATCTGCCTACGGATTAGTTCACTCACAATGAGAAGTAAAACAATCATTAATATTAACTTCGAAGGATTCAGACTTTCAGCGATTCTACCTTTTTAGCGGCTCTGGTGCTTGCACTAGAGCTGCTATTCCCGACGGTCCCAGCTGGGGAGTATCAACGGACCATGTTACATTGGAGAGACCGCGTGTTGGTTGATGGGAATCGGCGCCATTTTCTGCTGTTTAGGGGGGACTGATTTTATTTTAATTGATATCTTTTTCCTGTGTGCGAATGCTATGTTGTGTAGTGTATTTTTGGAATCATGGTGATACTGTCAATAATTCAAAACGGGTCTGTGCTTTAATCTCGCACTGGAAAAAATGTACTTTACGTTTAAAATTTGAAAATTCAAATCTATAAGTTTTCGCGCTTTTTTCGAAGAATGCCGTGGTTGGAGCTTCCTAGTCATACTACTCGACATCAGCTGATAGCAAACAAAGGTTACCAAGGAAACCGTAAACGCGTAACAACTACCTACCGTCGCCAGAGCCGATTTCCGACGCGAATGCTTTGGAGCTTCCTGCTTGTTTCTATTTCACTCGAGAGGTTGCCAGATTGTGAGATAAATGTGAATATTTTACATGGATTTGAATTAAGAAAAGTGCCAAAAAAGCAACTTATCTGGCAACAATAGAGTGCGGGAAGGACGAGAGGCTGCCCTCCTGGGAAAACCCATGATTTAGCCGGAAATTCCATTAAAACAATTGATTCCGTTTGAAGCATCAATTGTATACTAGGCAAATGCTATTTTAAAATAATAATTGTAAATGGACAAAGATGACACAGAAAAGGAAAAAGGTAAAGGAAAGGAAATGAAATGAGGTTATGATTACTAATATGCAATCAGAGAGAATAAAACAAAAACATCAGAGAAATTTATATGCGATGAAAATATAAGAAAAAAAACACGAGTGGGCTCATTGCGATTCGGAACTCGAACTATACTATCGTTGAGCAGTTTTTAGACCCCTGCGCCACCGATAATCTTCTTAAGAGGTAAAGATGACCTTTTGCTACTTCAGCGAGTCAAATCGCGGAAGGAGATCCATGGATTGTCTTTTTCCGCCACCCGAAGGGATGACGTCCCAGTCAAATGCGTTTTTGAAGAAATTATCGATCCCCATCATCGCTTCACCTCCACACATCTATTCATGTGCAAATGATGGCACGCTCCGGCAACAAGGTTCTGTGACGAAATTTTTGCCTCCAGATTCTCCAAAATGTATACATCTTAGTGATCAATTGTCCAATCACTGAGAAAAATGGATCGCGGAGCGAGCCGAATGTCACTCGCGTTGCGAGTGATCGGGGGTCCAGGGGGGCGCAGCCCCTTGGCTGGCCGTGACGGACGCGCAAAGCGCGTCCAGAACGGCTAGTAATATAAAGTTTCGTTTCTTGATTGATTGAAAGGCAATGGTATGCATGAATATAATTTCTTTGCATGCTGGGTGTGTTTAATTTTGTATACCTAAGTACGCGTCAGGATCCAAGGCTTGCAAAAGAAATTGCTTTTGAAGATGTCTAAGAAAAACAAATAGGTACTTAGTGTCGGGTTTACATCATTAAATTCAAAAAATCTGCTGAACAACTCTTACATGGATTTTGAATGTAATATCTGTTGACTTCATGTGGCGAGGATGTTACATCGACAGCAGAACATTCATACCAGCATCTGAGAGTAGAAGTGGTTTTTGCATATATTTTTAGCATTTAGAATGTTACTTCAAAATCCCTTTTAGTCCAGGCGCCTGATGGCTAAAAATGAGGCTATCTGGAATTTTGGGTGCACAGCTATTTATTTTGGGCTAACTTTATGTATTTTGGGTCGCTAAATCCGAATCTGAAGTTTTCCTTTCACGTATATGTGGTGAGCAATTGCCGACATTTTGAAAAAAGGCCTTTTTGCGGTTTTTTAAAAATAGCGGCTACGCATAAGAAAAAATCCCGGATTTAGTGACGTAATTTGGAAGAAAAGGGTATATAAATATGGTAGGATTGCTAAAAAATTGAGGAACCTCGGAAGTCTGAACTCGGAACTTTCAAACGCTTCGGAACTTGGCGGACCGCGGCGAGCCGGACCACGCGTTGACGGGTGCGCCGCGAACAAGAATGGACGCGATGTTCACGCGATGCTGTATCCTCCTCAATTTTTGAGCAAACCTAGCATATTTACATACCATTTTCTTCCAAATTACGTCAGCTATTCAATACAATATGAACTAAATCCAGGATTTTTTCTCATGCGTAGCTGCTACTTGAAAAACCTGCAAAAAAGGCATTTTTAGGCCATTTTTTCAATATGGCGGCAAATGCACACCAGGTACGTGTAAGGAAACTTCAGATTTGGAGTCAACGACCCAAAATACATAAAGCAAGCCAAAAAAAATTGCTATGTACCCGAAATTCCAGGTAGACTTACCTGGCGCCTGGACAATATTTTATGGGACTATACACCGAATTAATCCTCCATGATAATATAATTGTAGGTGATTTTAATATTAGTGAAGTAAAGGGAGTCGATTAGGTATGATTTCGCATCTGGAAACGCCAACGCTAGGTCTCTTGGCAATTTAATGGCACTTTTGAATCTGAAATCTTGTAATAATGTGGGGAATCATCAAGGTAAAACTCTAGCCTTAATTCTCAGTAGTGTTCATGTAGAAGTTAGTAAAGAATCTTACCCTCTTTTGTCTGAGGATAAGTTCCACCCTACCCTAGCCTCCTATTTATGTGGGATTATCAGTAGGTACGTCGGCATTACTAATACCACCAGAATCCAACGTCCCTATTTTAATTTTAAAAAAGCAAACTTCAATTAATTGTATTTTCGCCTCAGTTAAGCAAACTGGGGGTGTCTATTCAATATTACTGATCCAAATGCTGCTGTTGACTATTTTTACTCTGTGTTGAATGATGCAATTTATAGCTCTGTGCCACTAAATATGCGCATTGTTTAGTCCGGTGAAACAGGATTGCGCGAATGGCGCCTTAATTTCGACAGGATTGCGCGAATAGCGAGGGCAGGTTTGCGCGAATGCGTATCATTAGGAATGCGCGAATGGTGTGAGAAAATATTTTCATTTTTCTCTTACAAGTGGCAACATTCCAAAGAGTGCGGCTGATTATTCTCGGTGATCTCAGTCGTCTTTTATCACGGGGAAAAAAGAACTGTGTCAAAATTACAGTGACAGAGAGTAACACTTTTACTTCACACTTTACCAGGCTTAGTACTCATAAGTTCAAGGAATGCTTTGGAAACGTCAATACAGGGTAAGAATGGTAAAGCAAAAAACAGTTTCATCCACCTCCCGGTTTCAGAGTCTTTGTCATTAAACTCCTTGGACAGCACCCCTGATGCAATATTTTTGAACCGCAATTTTGCCCTAGGTGAAAATAGCATCACTTTATAACAATATCGGGGAAAATGCATTTAGCAGCATTTATTGCAGCAATCTCGAAATCAAGAAGTAAAATTTTCGGAGAAAAGTGCCCGTCACATAAGTCGTGGCAGAGTTCTTGAATCGCAGACCAAAATTTTTCGTAACTTGCTCCCGATTTATCAGGTAAAAACCCGAACGCTATATGATGATATATTCCATTTTTGGAAGCTCTCGCGTGCCTACCTGATAAGACAGTTTCAAATATTCGGGCGAGTCTGGTCAGCAACGCCTGCGCTGTTGCCACATGAATAAAAGTAACAGAAATGCACCGTCTTTTACATTCGCGCAATCCTTGACTGTAGGCCTCCTTGTCATTCGCGCATTCCTACCCCGAAAAAAAATTACCTGGACCCCTCCATTCGCGCAATCCTATCGTAGCCGACTTGATCGGCATGGTCAAGTTAAAGAAAAGTATAACGGAATATCGAAGCGCCGCGTCTTGGAAGCCTTGGGCTGGCATCGCTCCCGGAAAATCAGTCGAACCACGAGGTTTTTCATGACACAGCTTGTCACATCCGTCAGTGACATCGCTCGGTGACATCACCAGACACAGCCTTGTCAGAAAGCCCGAGGAATCCCTCAATTGCGTATACCCCAGTCTCGGGCGCCGGGCGACCAAGGTCCACGGGATGGCAACCTAACCTGTTGCTTTCCGAGGATTTTGGAGTCCTGGCGGATGTGACATGCGTGGTCAGGGGATTTTGGTGAGCTAACCGTGGGAAATGACGCCAAGTTAGCAGGCCTGGAGACCCACGAGGAGCCCTCTGAAATCCCCTGAATTGAGTAGTTTCGCAACCTCTAGCCTACGTCTCCTCGCGGTCCCTCGACTTCGCGTCTCTACCCTTAGTCAAGTCCACGAGTAACCCTCGGTCGAAAGTTCGGTCCTACGGTTCGTTCCCGACCCCTCTCTCGCCCCAGCGGTCTTTCACTTTCTTTCCGAGCCTTTGGCTCCTTAAATCGCCCCGTCCCGCGTCTCTACCCGGAGATTGAGCCTTTGAGTACCCCTCCCCTCGCCGAAAGTCCCGTCCTGCGGCTGCATCCCCGACGGCTCTTCCTGCCTGGAAAAACCTCCCCTCCTCCTTGTAGTAGTGTGTCTTTATGGTCTGTGTGTATACCATAGTAGACGAGTTCTGTGTGTAGTAGAGTTCTGTGTGATAGTTGTTTGTGGTCTGTGTGACCTAGTGTCGTAGTTGTCGACCTGTTATTGTTATACCGTTGTACCTAGGTATTGTATTTTACATCCCAATACATTGAGCGGCCACCCCTAGATTGTGATTCATATTCTTTCCCTAGGATACCACTCTCGAGGTAGGTGACCATATACTTAGAGTGATAAGGCTCTTACACCCCCCCTAGACCATCTCCCTTCTCTAGGACTACCCTATCTGGTGGATACTTACGCCCCCATCTGCGATCATCCCCCTATGTGTTCAGCTGCTTGGCCTGAGAGCTGAGCACGTTATAAAAAGGTTACCT